TGAAGGTTGTTAATCAATAACCTAGCATTAGGACATCCCAGGAGAACATCAGAATAAGAGAAATGTTCACTCTTTTACTCTTAGCTCTCCAAAATCCATTATGTAGTATTAGTGCTAGCTTCTGTCCATTTTCTCTCTTTCTGTTGAGGTCTGCTAATGGGACCTGACAAATTGTCAGCATTCGGGTCAGTTTCTTGCATTATTATGCCAGTTTAAAGGTTCCTAATATTGTTTTTGGAGTCTCGTCTAATAGGTTTACATGCATGCAAGGTCAAAAAACACTTTTGTTTTCTCATATGCATTTAATATCACCTCATTTTCCAACGTTTCTCAAACGATTCATTCGAAGCAGTTCAAAGATTCAGTCTCTCTAAACCCCTCCTTTCCGCAAGCCTACTATGCTCTGATTGGTCAAATAGCCCAGTCTGTAATGATTGGTCTACCGCGTACAGCATGTGTCGGAAACGATTCGCCCATTGCCATAGTTCCGTATTTTGAATGCTCGATTCAAAATGCTCGAAAATATAAACATCTATTTTTTATCATACATACAGATTGTGATTCAGTGGAGCCAGCTGGTCCAAATAAACTGGGTACAGAGCCATCTTTCAAGAGCAAGCGTTTTGTGAATCCCGTGTTGAACTCCCTGAGATTAGAGAAGCAGTTGTCAGTAAAATGAAGGGAACATACAAAAAGACTGGCGTTGTACTGCTGTGGTACGGTGGAAAAAATGAATTTTAACCACTGATTCGTTGCAGCCTCATCTTTCGGAAGTGAAAATAAAACTAATTTACTTTCACAGGGTCTTCTCTACATGATGTTTACCACACGAACAAGCTACAGTGTTTTAGTGCAGGTCAAGTTGTTCGAGGCCGGCCAGCGCAGAGCATAGGCGGGTATTATGCAAATATGTTACCCAGTGATGGCTACACAAATTACTGACGACTCGTTTCAGCTGTTCAGAGTCGATTCTTTCTTTTAGGAGATAATAACTTTATTTATCGTGCACTTTTGGGTTTACAATTTTGCAGATAGTTTATAATCATATTTACTACATTACACACTGCATGAAAGGCAATATTCGAAATAGCATAATAGGGGCACTTTAAATTTAAATAAGTTTAACATGATTATCTTGTTTACTTTAATTGCTATTACAGTGTAAAAATGATTCTTCAAAGTTGGAAATAAAACTAGATTATTGGAGAAAATGATATTTCAGTCTTTCTACTTCCAAATGTAATGTTTTATTCAATGTGTTACTTGCCATTTCTTTCTTTCTTCACAATTATTTGTGACATTTGCTAGCAATTTCTGGGTGAAAATTGTTTCAAAGTAAGTACTTGTGATGGGAGAATCATATCGTTTTCCTGATCTAGGTCTAGGGCTGCACAATATATCGAAATATCGCAAATGTAAATATCACATAGGGCTGCACGATAAATCGCATGCGATATTTAATGCGCATCTTGTCAGAAAGCCGGTTCTGTAATCAGCGGTAAATCTCCATCACCTGCGGGCTTTCACATTGAGCAGCATTAACTACACAGAGCCGTTAAATATCGCATGCGATTTATCGTGCAGCCCTAATATCGCAATATGCATATCACAATGGCGTGCGATATCTGAATCATTTTAATAATAGGCTACTTAAATCAAAACTTTGCAAAAGGTCATTTAGTTCGACGCATATAGCAGAGAATTGCTTGACATTAAATAGAGTTAAGTGCAATAAGTTGCAGAAAACAACTCTTTGCCGTTTCGTCTTGCTGTCTGACACACACCTGAAGCACGCACACAAGCCGCATCTCGCACAACGTCTCTTCAGTTCTGCCGCACACGTGCAAAGCACAGACTGAGTTGATTCATCAGCATGGAACACAGTCTCTGTTTCAAGCTTCAACTTAATGCCGTGCAGTTCACTGTCTGTCCCCATGTATGGACACTGTTTGGTCTGTCCACTCCGTAACAATAGCCAGTTCATGGTAAAGTCTCACTATTGGGGTTTTCCTCTGACATCACCTCCACTGTTTTGGCTCACTCCCCATTTCCTGTTCACACAGGAAGTCTCTGCGTAGTCTTCCGCTAGGTTGTGCCCATGGCAGGAAATGCTGATGGGCACACCTGGTCCGCATCCCTCTCTCTTTCTGTCACACAATATCAATGTGTTATAACACTATAGAGTAGGGCTGCACGATAAATCGCATGCGATATTTAATGCGCATCTTGTCAGAAAGCCGGTTCTGTAATCAGCGGTAAATCTCCATCACGTGCGTGCTTTCACATGAAGCAGCATTTACTACACAGAGCCGTTGTTCACTGACGAGCTGCGCAAAAAAATCGCGCGAATATGAACGTGGTTTACTGACAAGATGCGCATTAAATATCGCATGCGATTTATCGTGCAGCCCTACTATAGAGTATGAATTTTATCTTTGTGGTAGTTTCATTAAACTCAAGTTAATCACCTTTATTTCTGTAGCACTTTATACAACACAGATTTTGTCAAAGCAGCTTCACAAAGATAAACAGGAAAGCATCAAATTCAATTATGCAAACTTAACTATGGAGACCGCTCTAAAAGTCAGTAGTGTCATTATTTAGCTCAAGTCAGTTCAGTGTTGGTTTAGATCAATAACAGTGTGAAGTTTATCGTTTTGAAATGAGTTCAATTGAGCTATAAGCAGTTCTACAAATGGTGGAAATACTGATGAACTTTTGTACTTTTTTGTAAATGTATCTTGATCTTCCATAAGCAGGATACTGTAGATAATATACATGCCAAAATAAACTTTAAAAAACCTGATGCAAACGTGTCAACCTTTCAAAACAGCCAAGTCATTTTCCTATCAAGCAGGAACCCAGGCCATCTGATACATGGGTAGTGATTTCATAGCTTTGTACCACTTAGTTGTTAAAGATTTATTTTGTCCCAATTCTAAGCTAGCAAACACTCTCTCACAAGCACACAACACACACTCTGCAACAGTGTGTCACAGCTACATTTGTAAAACATCAATGCAAATACAAATGCATATGACTTTCTGGTAGTGATGCACCAACATTTTGGCAACTGAAAATATTTGAATAGTTTTGGAAGGACCAAAACGGTGATGTTTACTAACCTTTCTTTGACGTGTTCTGTCTGTTTCATGCACATAACGAGAATAAACTACAACAGGTAAAAATGTCAGTAGTGTGGATGGACCAAAAATAATGATGAAGTAGCAATAAGTAAAATTTGTTCCGCTGAAATGGCAGCTGGTTGTCGAAGAACTTTACTACGACTGGTTTAATTTATCATCTGAGAGCACGATATACCCTGGACCTGAATGGCAGTAAGAGTTCAGTTGCCCAAATGTATTATGGAAATATTCGGTTTTGGTTTTCGGAAATAAAAGTGTTAATTCTGGTTTCTTTAAAAAAAATCATTTTGGTGCATCACTGCTTTCTGGGATTTTAAAACATAATAATTTAATAAATTTTGTGACGTGTGAGCATTCACATCACTATGAGCAAGTTGCTTTTGTTTTATGAAACGGAGTTTAAACTGTATGCTTCTCATGTGTTTGACACTAACGCTTCTTACTGATTTTGTTACCATGGTAACTGAAGTCACATGATCAGGGGGGTTTTAATACTGACTCACTGTCCAAACACTCCCACACCTTCCTTAATTTTTAACAACTTTTTAAAGACAATATTTAATCGGAGCTGTTTTTCAGCACCGTTGGTGGAATGTGTTGTTCAGTATGTCTAACACTCACCAGTATGAGTTCACACCCCCAGTGTCTAAAAAAATATCTAATAAGGGAATATTTTGCAAAAACACCACATGGTCTGCAAGTCGGTGAGCCACGGCTTTGTCATGTGCCACACATGCAGAGTCTTGCTGCCATGTGGACAGACAGTCGGCACAGTTGTGCCTCAGTGTGCAGCTGTGATCTGCTTCGCTCAATAAGACACACCCCTTTTAATATGCTTTACATTTGTCTATCATCAGTTGAGGCGTGTGTGTGTGTACGGCAAGGTTTTGAGGGCCTATAACATATTGTGTGTTACAACTTTCTTGATTAATAGGAAAGAGCACAAGTGAGTCCTCGCACTTTTTGTTATTCTCTTTGAAAGGGATTATATAGGTTATGAGTCATTGTTGTCTGGGAAAATATTTGTTTGTTCAAAATGCCTGTTTGGTTTTAATTAAAGTAACCCTCTTCCTCTTTATCCCTTTTGTGGAATAAGTGGCATGTGGTGGACTATTGAAATGAGACAAATCCCCCGCTCTGGGTTTGAGGTTTTTCATTCCAATTTAAATTCAGGTTCCAGTTCCTTTTGATGTGTGTACAAGTTATCAGAGTTAGTCTTTTGAAACGCAGTTTTCTTTACAATTGGGACTATCGTATCAACCAGTACTTTAATATTTATAATATAATAATATTAACATATTTATTGAAACTAAGTCATCTCAAATTCCCAGTTTATATGGAAAAAAGTGTATTTTGTGTAGCTTTTATAATATTTATTGCTACTGGCTGTTGATTACCTATTATGCATAGACCAGTGGTTTGATTGCTGTATAGATTCAGTTTCATGTGTGTTTATTGTGATTTCTGTCTTGTCCAATTTTTTGGTGGTGGTAATAAAGCAGTATACCTAAACTTTGTGTATAGTACATTAGTCTCACCCTGCTTTTAAACCCTCAGCATTTCAGTCAATATGATGACATAGCAGCTGCATTCTACACTCTAAAAAATGCTGCACTTTGAGTCAAATATGGACTAACCCAGCTGTTGGGTTACATTTTTTTATTAAATTTTTAACCCAAAAGTTGGGTTAGTCCATATTTGACTCAAAGTTGGGTTGAAACAACCCAGCATTTTTTAGTGTACTCCTCACTCACTGGTGTTTACATCTTCTGATCTGATGCACAAACATGCTTATATTCCCTATCTCCTTCCTTTTACAGGCACAAGTTAACCTCTATTTGTACATTTTGAACTGACTGAAACAGAAAAAAAACACTATACCAAAGGTAGGCTATTCTTTTTCTTCCAGACAATAACTCTCAAGGTCTGTTACAGACATTGTTTGGGAATGCTGGTGTGCCTTCTTGTGATATGCATTTTTGTCTACATGCACAATAATAATGTGAAATAATCAAATATTGCACAACAATAGTGAGCTTGACAGAAAGAAAAATGTTCTGAGGCGACTGAAATGTCTCATTAAACATTTGCATGGCAGATAATGTCTGCAGGAAGCTAGGTGACTGTTTTTTTTTATTTCTGCTACCTTTTTATCCCCAAGCTAACAGGAAAAATGTCTCGACAAAGATGTCCATTGTGTACAATATGTGTTTTCAGAGGAACTGTTGGAAGTGCAGAAATGTCTGAGAAGAAGAAAGGAAGTGAGGGTGGAAAGAATGATGGAAGATTGGGAGACACAGTGGGTGAAGGTTTAGCATTCTGACACCACAGCTGGATTTTTGAGAATAATGCCAGGAATGAGTGCAGCCATTTGAAGCCCTGGAGGATCTAGACAGCTCAATGTTTAACATGGTGAATGAACTGGAATGTCTCTGGAAATTAGTTCGGAGTGTTTGTGTGTGTGTATGTGTGCCTTTACTGTAACGATTCATTTTCTCAGCTGCTAAAATGTGACCATGCCCTCTCTGAAGACTGAAGTCCGGTCTTGACTCACTTAGAACTGACAGAGAGTGGATCCAAGTAGAAAGTACACATTTACACTTGCATTAGACTTACACCTGCGCTTACAACTTTAACAAAATGAGTTAAGATAAAGACTCATTTTCAAATCCACAATTTTAATTTTCTCAACAATTTTTAAAATGTCAGGGACATGACGCCTTTCCTTTTTTCTCTTTGAATAAAAGTTTTTTTTTATTCAAAATCACACAAAAAATGCAATTCGTAGCGACTTGGATTTACCTCTTCTATGATGAGCATGTTTTTAATTTCTGAATGAAACAAAAAAAAAACGTTTTCTATTGTTGCACATTTTTTGCCGTAAGTTATTTATTTATTTATTTTTAAATGTCAATAAAATCAAGTAATTTAGTGCAACCAATAAGCCTAAAATATCAAAGAATTTGAACATTTATTTTTACGACATTTTTATGACAACTAACCAATACAAGTTTTTTTTTTTTTTCTATATTACCTTTATTTATATAGCGCTTTATACAATACAGATTGTGTCAAAGCAGCTTCACAGTGTCAAACAGGAACATAGTTTGTCAATAATGCAAGAGGACAATAACGGAGTCATTTTTCCAGCTAAAGTCAGTTCAGTGATGTCATCATCCAGTTCAGCTCTCTTCCAATAGTGTCTGTGCAATCAGTCAAGCGTCCCCAACTAAGTAAGCCAAAGGCGACAGTGGCAAGGAACCAAAACTCCATCGGTGACAGAAATTAAGACAAAACCTTGGGAGAAACCAGGCTCAGTTGGGGGGCCAGTTCTTTGGCCAGATGAAACCAGCATGGCATGGTTTAATTCCAGGCTGCAACACAGGTGCAGAGGACTCGTCTGGTTCCTGTGGTCTGTGGAAATTTAAGTATCTGATCTGGAAATTAGTATGACACAAGTTTGGCCGAGCCTCCCAATAGTTTGGACAGTTTTGATGCCACAAACTGTGAATATACACTACCATTCAAAAGTTTGGAAGATTTTTACTGAGTAGTCTAAAAATAGTCTAGTTACATCCTAGTTTTATTCAACAAGGATGTATTTAGTGACTTTTGATGTTGTTACAAAACATTTCTGTTTCAAATAATTGCTGTTCTTTTGAACATTCTATTCATCAAAGAATCATGAAAAATCTAAGAATCCTGTATCAGATCTGTCTCTGGGGCACATCTAGTTGACATGGTCTCTTCTGACATTCAGGGCTGTAGAGGTCGTAGGTGCTGATCCATCATATGGTCTGGATATGGACTGGATCCGTATGGCTACGGTGACCTCGGAATAAGAATGAAAGAGAATAATATTAGAGTAGATGCCATTCTACTTATGATGTAACAAGTACATTGGGTGTTAAGTGGGAAGTGTTCCCGGTTCCGGTTGACCTAATTAATGCAGCCTAACAATCCTTTAATGGATTTGAATTATAGAAATGCGATAGTGTATTATGTGTATTAGGGTGGGTGGTATATCGAGTTTGTATGATATATCGATATTTACTTTATAAGCGATACAATATGAGGCAATACCGTTTATATCGATATACAGTAGTTTGATACGAGCGCATCTGAAGATATAGCGGAGGACACAGACTGAGCTGCTGCGGAGAAAGTGCATAATCCAGTTTGTTCCAAACATGTGACAAGCTTTATATTTAAGGCCTTTAAAAACTGGTAAGACATGGTTTATGGTTTCGTTTTGCATATTAGTTTAAGCGGCTCGGCCCGTCATATGCTCTGACTGAAAGGCTGCATGTGCTGCTGACAGAGACACTCGGCTACTTGCGCTGTTTAATGTGTTTGAGATGTGCCATCTTCCTGAATGCATAACTTACATTTCACAGGTATATTCTCGGTCTGTAAATGTTAGAAAGTCATGGAAATATTTCCATTTTTCTGTCAGAAGTGCATGAGCCTTCTGCTTTGGGATTCTCCGCTAAACCTCACAGACTTCAGTGAACGAGCACCACGCATGCGCGCCAAACAGATGGAGCTCAATTAAATATGAGCGCAATAATTCTGACTAAAATATAAATTTCTCTGAAATATTTGTAGTTGGACAATAAATGTGACATGTAGAATTTTAAACCTACAAGTAAGTTTTTTTTTGTTTTTTTATGATAGCACTGACTGTGAAGTGACTGTAATGGGTTAATCAAAATAGCCTAACACAACTCTGCTTTTGTTCTCATTTATTTTCATTTTTAAGTTTAGTGAATTTAACTTCTACTTTAAAAGCCTTATTTTTGTTTTTAGATTGCAATGTTACAATGTTAGAATGAAATGTGATTTTAACCCTTTTTTGCACATAACAAAAAGGCTTATATGGTTACATTCACTTAATTAGTTTTCAAAGCCTTTAATATGTATTGTTTTGTTGGACAACATTGAGCGTTAAGTGAAATATATATATATATATATATATATATATATATATATACTCCCCAGATGTGTGGCTTGACGCAATCCTGTCTCTGAGCTCTACAGGCAGTTCTTTTGACCTCAGGGCTTAGCTTTTGCTCTGATATGCATTATCAGCTGTTAGACCTTTAATTAAGACGTGTGTGCCTTTCCAAACTATACCCATTCAATTGAATTTGCCAAAGGTTAACTTCACTTGAAGTGTAGTGACATCTACAAGCAATATGAATGCTCCTGAGCTAAATTTCAACTGTCCCAGATAAGGGTATGAGTACTTATGCAATGGAATCATTTAAGTTTTTTTATTTTTAATAAATTTACAAATGTTAAAAACCAGTTTTTTGCTTTACCATTATGGTGTATGGAGTGTAGATTGATATGGGAAAAAAGTAATTTAAAGCAGTTTAACATAAGGCAGCAACATAATAATGTGCAAAAAAGAATGAATACTTTTGCAAGGCACTGTATATCGCAAATCGGCCAAAAAATACCGAGATATGAATTTTTGCCCATATCGCCCAGCCCTAATGTGTATGCCAGGTTAAAGAAATGGGTTTTTAATCTAGATTTAAACTGAGTGTGTCTGCCTCCCGAACAACACTAGGTAGATTGTTCCAGAGTTTGGGCGCTAAATAGGAAAAGGATCAGCCAACTGCAGTTGATTTTGATATTCTAGGTATTATCAAATGGCCAGAGTTTTGAGATCGCAGCGGACATGAAGGACTATAATGCGATATGAGCTCACTCAAGTATTGAGTAGCTAAACCATTCGGGGCTTTATAATAATTAGCAAGATTTTAAAATGTATTCGATTTTCAATAGGGAGCCAGTGCAGAGTTGACAGAACTGGGCTAATATGGTCGTACTTCCTGGTTATATATTGACTGTCCATAGTCTGCAGTGTAAAAGGCTTTTGTAGAGTTCAGACTAAAAATAGTTTTAAAAATAACCTAAAATATGTCCAGTCATACTCAGATGTTAAGACTCAGTGACACGAGGCTCTCAGGTGACTTGGCTGTGTAAAATCCAGGTTCTTACTTGCTGTCTCACCTTTGGCATCTGGGTTGATGTGTTTTTTAGATTACTCTTGGTCACAAACATAAGAAGTAGCTTCCAAATGCTTCACTTATACTTACTTCACTTATACTACAGTACATGGGCACCTTCTTTTCAACACTGTTACCAAACCAGCTGCCGGCTTGGAATCAAAGGTCTTGAGTCGACATCAAGTGCGACAATGTGTCGCCCAGGCCTCAGCAACATGTTTGTTTTTTGGGGGAATGGACATGCCATTCCCAGCTGTTGGAGACAAGAAGAGTTTGAGACTTGTGTCATGTCTGTGTGTCCAGCCTGACACGCAACAGGCCCTCACAAAATTAGCAGTTGGCCAATGTCACACAATCCGACTGTACATGAAGTGTAAAAGCGGAACGATATGTCAAATAGTCAAATGCTTACTATTGTCTGTGGAAGCACTATGGGAGAAGGTTGCATGCAAGTTGCAAGGTGTGAAATACAGGGAATGGATATCTGGAGTGCCACAGACACAGTTTTTTGACTAATCAAATTCACTTGCTTATCATTCTACCTTAACATGCAGAACAGAATAAATAATACACAAATATGCACATAAAACATATGCTTAATATAGAAAGTATATACACAGATACAGAGTACTTAAGACAACAGTACACAACAGTTGTAATTGGAATGTCAATAAAAGTAAATGTATAGGTCACAATAGGGAAGAATCATTGGTCACAATTTCTGGTTCTTGCCAACTTTAAACAGTTCTGCTTATCTAAATGAAACAGCTCGTCAAATGGGAATAAAAATTAGGGATGCACCGATACCACTTTTTCCAGTACTCGCCCGATACCGATACTTTTATTTTTGGTAAAAAATAATTTTT